TTTCTCCACATCCTCTCCAGCATCTGTTGTCTCCAGATTTTTTAATGATCGCCACTCTAACTGGCATGAGATGGGATCTCAATGTAGTTTTGATTTGCATTTCTCTAATGACCAGTGATGATGAGCATTTTTTCATATGTTTGTTGGCCTCATATATATCTTCTTTTGTAAAGTGTCTGTTCATATCCTTTGCCCACTTTTGAATGGGCTTGTTTTTTTCTTGTAAATCTGTTTTAGTTCTTTGTAGATTCTGGATATTAGCCCTTTGTCAGATGGGTAGATTTCAAAAATTTTTTCCCATTCTGTTGGTTGCTGATTCACTCTAATGATTGTTTCTCTTGCTGTGCAGAAGCTCTGGAGTTTAATTAGGTTCCATTTGTCTATTTTGGCTTTTGCTGCCAATGCTTTTGGTGTTTTAGTCATGAAGTCCTTGCCTACGCCTATGTCCTGAATGGTTTTGCCTAGATTTTCTTCTAGGGTTTTTATGGTGTTAGGTCTTATGTTTAAGTCTTTAATCCCTCTGGAGTTAATTTTAGTGTAAGGTGTCAGGAAGGGGTCCAGTTTCTGCTTTCTGCACATGGCTAGCCAGTTTTCCTAACACCATTTATTAAACAGGGAATCCTTTATACTATCTTCCTTGTCTTCATCTCTCTTGATAACCTGTAACTAGGCAGGCTCCAGATATAGATTACTTGGACCAAATAATTTCCCCTTCATTCATTTCTCAGTACAGACTTGATACTGCCTCTTTCTTCTCCAAGTCAACAAAATCATTTTTATCAAGCAGTTTTTCTCTCTTCGTTTTTTTTTTTTTATGACTTCCATTTGATAAAAATTTACTGTCTACTATGTGCAGGCCTGATGGTGAAAGGATGGTTAATATACGGTACATGCCTTCACAATCTAGTTAAAATGAGACATATAAAGTCGATAAAATATACCATAAAAAGTACCACTTTGATATTATGAAGAAAGTACTATAGCAATTCATTCTGCCCAATGAGGGAAAGAGTAGATGGGGATACAGGGGAAAAGGATGCTGAGCTAGGATTTGGAGACTAAGTAGGAGTTGAAAACATGGACAGCAATAAAAGAATATTCCAAGGGAAAAGATAAACCTTTAAGCACAGAAATGTGTAAGCAAACAACATATTAGGAATGATTGTTAATGCAATGTGCTACATTGAAGACTAAGGAAATAAGAGCAGAAAAGTAGATTGGAAATATGTGAAGTGGCCTGACCTTATCCTGAGAGCCAGTGATTTGCAAACTATTTTGACTGCCCACCCCAGCAGTAGCAAATTTTTGTGCATGCATGTATCCTCAATAAATGCACATTTATTTAAGTACAACTTAAATTATGCCAAGAGCTACTCTTCTAATATATCACATTATTAGAAAATACACATAGAGGGCCAGGCACAGTGGCTCACATCTGGGAGCACTTTGGGAGGCTGGGGCAGGTGGATCATGAGGTCAGGAGTTCAAGACCAGCCTGGCCAAGATGGTGAAACCCCATCTCTACTAAAAATACAAAAATTAGCCGAGCACAGTGACAGGTGCCTGTGATCCCAGCTACTTGGGAGGCTAAGGCAGAAGAATCTCTTGAACCCCAGAGGCAAAGATTGCAGTGAGCCAAGATCATGCTATTGCACTCCAGCCTAGTGACAGAGCAAGACTCCTTCTCAAAAGAAAGAAAGAAAGACAATACACAAATAGAAATATGTAAAAAATAAATAGGTAATATTTTTCTCTAATGGAATCATTTTCATTAATTTTTATTAATAAATAATGTGTACCAATGTTATTAATCAACTGCTAATGTATCTTCTATAATCAACAAATGAATGCACTATGCTTCTGCTGACATTCCAGTTCTAACTTGCATTTTCTTGCTCTCTCGGTAGTAACAAATCATCAAGAGTATTCATAAAGTCTAGCATAGTGTACTTGTACTTACTTTTTTGGTGCTAAGATGAACTGTTAGGGAATTTGAAAGATCTTTATTACAGTCAATTTAAATATATCCATCTATACCTTATCTTGTACATATAAAAGGTGTAAGTGCATAAAAAGACAACTTTCTTACATGATAAAAACACTCAACAACTAGAAATAGAAGAGAACTTCCTCAACCTGGTAAACAGCATCTATGAAAAATCCCACAGCTATCATACTTGGTGACAGGAAGCTTTCCTCCTAAGAGCAGGAACAAGACAGGATGTCTGCCCTCAACACTTCTTTCTAGCCAAGGAATCTAGATTGGAGAGGAAGAAGTGAAACTCTTTGTATATGACAGGATCTAGTATACAGTAAATCCTGAGAAATCTGCCAGAAAAAAAAAAAAAACTATTACAGCTAATAAACTAGTTCAGCAAAGCAGCAAGATATAAGATCAATATAGAAAAATCAGTTCATCAGGTATATTTCTATACACCAGCGATGAACAATCTGAAAATAAAAATTAAGAAAACAATTCCATTTACTAGAGCTTCAAAAAGAATAAAATACTTAGAAGTAACTTTCAGAAATGCAAGAACTTCTGAAATTAATGAGAAAATAATTTTTAAAATTGAAAAATACCTTAAATTCAAGACTCGTACACTGAAAACTACACAGCATTGCTGAAAGAAATGAAAAATGATCTAAATAAAAAGAAAGATATCCTATGTACAAAGATTGGAGAAATCAGTATTGTTAAAATGGCAGTATTCCCCAAGTTGATCCATATATTCAAGGCAAGCCCATCAAAATTCTAGCCATCTTCTTTTTTTTTTTTTTTTTTTTTTGAGACAGAACTTCACTCTGTTAACTAGGCTGGAGTGCAGTGGTGCGATCTTGGCTCATTGCAGCCTCCACCTCCCAGGTTCAAGCAATTCTTGTGCCTTAGCCTCCCAGGTAGCCGGGATTACAAGCACGTGCCACCATACCTGGCTAATTTTTGGCATTTTTAGTAAAGATGGGGTTTCACCATGTTGGCCAGGCTGGTCTTCAGCTCCTGGCCTCAAGTGATCCACCTGCTTCCACCTCCCAAAGTGCTGGGATTACAGGTGTGAGCCACAGTGCCTGGCCCTAGCCCAAACACACTGAAAGCCAGAATTTGAATTGATACTTATCCTTCCATGTTCAGTACAACACTATTCACAGTAGCTAAAAGAAACAACCCAAGAGTCCATCAACAGAGGAGTAATTTTTTTAAAATGTGTAATGTACATACAATATAATTTTCTTCAGCCACAGAAGGAATAAAGATATGATACATCCTATAACATGACAACCCTGAGGACATTACGGTAAGTGAAATAAGCCAGATGCAAAAGAACAAATACTGTATGATTCCACTTACATGAGATACTTAGAACAGGAAAATTTAGAGAGACAGATAGGGACCTGCTGGGATGGGAATGGGAGATTTTGCTTAATGGTTACAGGGTTTCTGTTTGGGGTGATGGCTGCACAACGGGAATGTAATTAATGCAACTGAATTGTACACTTTTTACAAGGGCAGATTTTATGTTACAATCACAATTTTTAAAATTATACTGTAATATACCAAAATCCATTTACGGTATACAACTGCATACCTTAAATGGGTGAATTCTGCAGTATGTGAATTATATCTCAATAAGGTTTTTTTTAAAAAAAAAAAAAAAAGAAAGAAAGAAAAAGTAGTAAGCTCTCAAGCTATTAAAGGACATGGAGGAATCTTAAATGCATATTGAAACCAGTCTGAAAAAGCTACATACTTCAAGATTCCAACTCTATGACATCTTAAAAGGCAAAATTATAGAGATTACGAAAAGACTTGTGGTTGTCAGGGACTCAAGGGAAGGGGAGAAGGATAAATAGGTGGGGCCCAGAACATTTTTAGGGCAGTGAAACTATTCTGTATGATAGTGGAATGGTGGACACAGGAGACCTTGCATTTTCTAAAACCCATAGAACTGTAGAATGCAAAGAGTGAATCCTAATGTAAAGTATGAACTTTTGCTAATAATAATGTATCAACATTTGTTAATAAATCCTAACAAATGGACCACACTAATGCAACATGTTATTAGGAGAAATCGTGTGTGAGTGGGGAAGGGTATATGGGAACTCTGAATCATTTTCTGCATAATTTTTCCGTAAACCTAAAACTGCCCTAAAAAAAAGGGTCTATTTTTAAAATGCATGCTTCCCAGAGAGAATTCTCTGAATTTTATCCTCTTATCATGATTCATAAGACTATTCACTTTAAACACAAATTACAATTTTACAGTAGCTGGAGAGGAAGCGCTGATCCTTTTGCCACTGTAGAATATCAGGCACCACTGAATCATCTCAGGATTCTATCCCTTCCCTACTGCACCTCCTCTTCCACCCCCAAAAGAATTACTTTATGATCTAAATTTTTGTATTCACGTAACTGCTTCCATCTAGATAGTCTTTGAAGATTTCAGCATGTGGAAATACTTCCTTAATTTATGACTAAATTCCAGTTTAATTATAATTATGAATTACAGTGACATTATTACACCAAATTGCCATGCCTCCTATTTTATTCACTTTATTCATTTTCTATGAGGTATCATTTTATCAGAAACCTAAGTGTGTTCGCTTTTTTTTTTCCTTTAAAAAAAAAAAGGTATTGTTCTCTAAGGCACTGATGACTCAATACAGAGGATTAAATTGGAAACTGTAACTGTCCCAGAGGAAAGATAGCTAGTACATTTAAGTACAACTCTTCCCCACCTCCTGGTATAAAATGATCCCCCAAACTCCTAATTTTTATTGGCACATGGTATAAACTCCTTTTTTTTTTTTTTTTTTTAGCTTTAGAGATCAGGGTCTCGCTATGTTGCCCAGGCTGTTCCAGTGACTATTCACAGGTGCAATCGTTGCACACTACAGCACCAAACTCCTGGGCTCATGTGATCCTCCCACCTCAGCCTTCCAAGTGGCAGGATTACAGGTGCGCACCACCACACCCAGCTTGTATAAACTTCTTTAACTGTTACCTTGGTCTTTTCCAGCTTCATCTATGTGCTGAAAATCTTTCAGTGTTTGAAGGTTACAGAACCCCTCTCTGCAATGCTGAATAACTTTCTTTGATCCATTCTTGATGAGATAATCCATTAGCGTAAGGGATTTATACACATGGCGCCAGTTCTTCCCATGGTCATTGAGTCTGTGCCATAGCATATTCATAATCTCTGAGAGAGAAATTGTGTTGAAAGTCAAGTCACTGATATCTAACATCAGAGAACTAGAGGGACCCCAAGGGTCGTTAGAAGTTGCTTCCCTGACTTTTATTTCAGCATCGGAGTAATTTTTCACAAAGTTTTTCACTTGCCTCCTGAATGCCATAAGTAATACAAGTTCCAAGGTGAGATGGAGGATGAAAACAATGGAAGAGCGGTTTATGTCACTGGTTTATAAAACGCTTGACAGGTAATTGGTCCCCAGTTCTGGTACTCCCAAATACCAATAGTTAATCTCTATGTTGATAAAGCATCGATTTCCTGCAATGAAAGCACAAAAAAATTTAAGTTAAACTTCTTTTTAAGTCTGTAGAGGACCAAATCAGTCTGAAAATCTAGGTTTCAATTCTAAATCAGCCCCTCACTTACAGCATCCGGAATTGAGGTACCATATAACTGTTCCTAGGATAGGTATGGGAAAATCCCTCATGAAAGATTGGCCTACATTATTTAAAGATATATAGGTTGTCTTTCAAGTCCTAAAAGTTCCTATGGAAAATATCATTCAACCTCTTTGGCCAGAAATCTAATGGCTATAAAGCATTACATGGACAATAGACAAGTCAACATTTTAAAAATAGAGCTTGCACTCTGATGTCTTTTTTCTTTTTTCCAGAGACAGGGTATTGCTCTGTTTCCCAGGCTGAAGTGCAGTGGTATAATCATAGCTCACTGCAGCCTCGAACTCCTAGGTTCATGCAATTCTCCTGCTTCAGCTTCTCAAGCAGCTGAAACTAAAGGTGTGTATCACCATGCCTTGCTAATTTCAAAATATTCTGTAGAGATGAGGGTCCCAGTATGTTGCACAGGCTAGTCAAAAATTCCTGGCCTCAAGTGATCCGCCTACTTCAGCCTCCTGAAGTGCTAGAATTTCAGGCATCTCTTAAGATATATTGTCATGTATAAAAATATTATGTTCTGAGAGTAATTAAAATGGGGGTAAAATTGAGTCTTAGAACCACCCACTGACCCTATGATTGTATTCTTTTAGAACCACAAGTCCTGAGAGACAGATATATAGTCTGCTTTCTTGCTAACCTAAAAGAAAGGGGGGTCAGTTATGAAGACAAACAGCTGCATGTCAGTGGACTCCACGCTAACTCATGGTACCCTAAAAGCACTATTTCAGTCCAGATAAGCCTAGTAAATTAGACAGAAAGGTTAGATTGCTTTCTTTATTCACCTTTGGAAAAAGAAGAATGAGTTTAGGATTAAACAGTGTCAATAGTAAGACTCAAATAATGTGAAGATTTCTCTAAATCCTGCAGTGATAAGTATGTATCTATCAGATCTCAAAACAAGGACCCACAGAGAGGCCCATATACTAAAACTTACAAGGCATATGCAGCCACAAAACTTGACACAATGCTTGTGAATGATCAATTCAGTTTATAGGAAACCATTCCCTTGCTCTTTTTCATTATTTTGCATTAAGGAGGGTCAGTTAGTTTGTAATTTCCCTAGTGATTCACCGCTGCTGGCTGCCGAGACAGTGTACCAAATTGATTTCAAGCCCTGACGAGCCTCCAGACCAAATGAAACCTAGATGATCTATAATCAGACTTTAACTAGAGAAACTGCACACACAGAAAAGAAAAAATGTTAAAATCCGTAACAAATGTGTTTGCTATTTTTAGTTTTGCTTCCGTTCCTTGACCTTCTCAGATAACTAGCTCAGGCTTGATTAATTTCTGTATGTGTATTAAAGGAAGACATAAATTTTCAGAAACATCCTAAATAAACTATCACTTCTTTAAAAAAAAAAAAGATAAGAGGAGATAACCTCTTTTTGGTAAAAATACTACACACTCTTAACTAAGCAAGACAGAAAATGTACCCGTATAACTGGTTAGGCATGATGGCTCACGTCTGTAATCCTAGCACTTTGGTAGGTGGAGGTGGGTGGATTACCTGAGCGCAGGAGTTCAACACCAGCCTGGGCAACATGGCAAAACCCTGTCTCCACTAAAAACACAAAAAATTAGCTGGGCTTGGTAGTACACACCTGTAATCCCAGCTACTTGGGAGGCAAGAGGCATGAAAATTGCTTGAACCTGGGAAGCAGAGGTTGCAGTAAGCCAAGATTACGCCACTGTACTCTAGTCTGGGAGACACAGCAAGAGTCTGTCTCAAAAAAAAAAGAACAAAAAAAGAAAACGTATTAAATATCTGTTTAATTAAGATTTCTCAGTAAGACACTATCATTAGCCCTAGGAAGAAAAAGAGAAGTTGTGTTTCTACAACTTTCTGATTTTCTCTTTTCTGCACTTCAAACACAGGCATTTTTATTTGACTCTCTCCCACAGTGAAAACCTGATTTATAATATTTCAGTAACCTATTAAAATTTTCAATCATGAGGGTTTTCTTTTTCTATTGTACTTTTTCCCCCTCTACCAAACTCACATAGTGCAGAGATGCACTATGACATTGGCTTAGAGCAACAAACATTGATCTATTTCTTCACGTCTATTTTCTTTTAAAGCCCTGTTAGAATCATAACTTGCTGCAACTGAACAACAAAAGTTCATTTTTTTTTCTTTTTTGGATAGCTGTCTATCTATATTCTACAAGGACAACCATAACATTTAGGTTTTTCTATATTCCCTAACCTGAATTTTAAACTTTAAAAAAATGTTTTCTTAAATGAACTTTCTAACCCAGAAAAATACCAAAATAATAGCCTTCTAATCCAACAGAGTAGTTTAAAATGGATGTACATGACACCATATCAAAATTAAATACACCCTCAACCATTAGAAAAATCACAAAGAGAAAAGTCTAGAGAAGTGAATTCATATCACTTACTAATGTACAGTGACTTGAACTTTACCTTGTGATATGAACATAGGATATGTAAGACACCATTCTATTACTGCTGTCTTTTAAGAATGACAAGGAACTCAATTAATTGATGTTAGTTGTAAATTATATGTTGGTTTATTATGTGTTTTAGACACCTAACTACATGAAATTACTGTTTACACATACCATCAAATAACTGTGAGATTGTAACTGCAGGGGTGTGACATCAGACAAAATTAGCGCCCAAGAGGGTAAATTTCCACATCTGAATCTTGGTTGTCTGGCTACCTAACTCACTATAATATTTAGAAATAGAGGGAAGAAGTTAGGTATTTCATGTCATAAATCTGAGAGGTCTTCACCAACCTCACTAACTACTTAGGTGTCTCCAGCGCCTGGTCAATTTCCTTCATTGAACTTATAACCATCTGTACTTACTATTTGTCACTTGCTCAGTGCCTTTCTTCACCACCAAACTAGAAGTTCCTTGTGGGCAGGGACTTTGACTGTCTTACTTACAACTGTGATACTATAACAGCTAATTAGCAGCAGTAGGTGCTCAGGAAACATGTGTTGTGCTAATGACACAATGATTGAATGATTCTGCTTTAGGATAAACCTGCATTGATTCTATAGCTTTATAATTATAATCATCACTTTTTTTTCTTTCTTTTTTTTTTTTTTTTTTTTTTTTTTTTTTTTTTTTTGAGATAAGACCTCTCACTATGTAGCCCAGCCTGCCTGCAAACTCCTGGGCTCAAGCAATCCTCCTGCCTCAGCCTCCCTAGTAGCTTGGGACTACAGGTGCATGCCACAAAGCCTAACTAATTTTTTTTAAACTTTTTTTCTTTTTTTTTGAGACGGAGTCTTGCTCTGTCACCCAGGCTGGAGTGAAGTGGCATTATCTCAGATAACTGCAACCTCCGCCTCCCAGGTTCAAGGTATTCTGCCTCAACCTCCCAAGTAGCTGAGACTATAGGCAGGAGCCACCACGCCCAGCTAACTTTTGTATTTTTAGTAGAGACGGGGTTTATCATATTGGCCAGGGCAGGTCTTGAACTCCCAACCTCAAGTGATCTGCCCACCTCCATCTCCCAAAGTGCTGGGATTACAGGCATGAGCCACTGAACCTGGCCTTAAAAAGAAATTTTTTTTTTCTTTGTAAATTCTGGATATCAGCCCCTTGTCGGATGGGTAGACTGCAAAAATTTTTTCCCATTCTGTTGGTTGCTGATTCACTCTACTGACTGTTTCTTTTGCCGTGCAGAAGCTCTGGAGTTTGATTAGGTCCCATTTGTCTATTTTGGCTTTTGTTGCCATTGCTTTTGGCGTTTTGGTCATGAAGTCCTTGCCTACGCCTATGTCCTGGATGGTTTTGCCTAGATTTTCTTCTAGGGTTTTTATGGTGTTAGGTTTGATGTTTAAGTCTTTAATCCATCTGGAGTTAATTTTGGTGTAAGGTGTCAGGAAGGGGTCCTGTTTCTGCTTTCTGCACATGGCTAGCCAGTTTTCCCAACACCATTTATTAAACAGGGAATCCTTTCCCCATTGCTTGTTTTTGTCAGGTTTGTCGAAGATCATGTGTGTACCTATGCAACAATCTTGCATGTTCTTCACATGTACCCCAAAACCTAAAATGCAATAAAAAAAAAAAGAAAATAGAAAAAAAAAAAAAAGAAATTTTTTTTAGATGTGGGTTACTACTAGTTGCCCAGGTGGTCACAAACTCCTATAAAGCATGACATTTAAAAAATAAACTCTAACTCTGGTAATTTTCAAGTAAAATTCTATAGTTTTGAGCAAATATTTTCAAATCATCAACAGATATTTCTTGAGAACCTACCATTTGTATAGCTTTGTACAGAAATACAAAACATGAATTTCACATTAAAATTTACAATTAAGGAACTTTCTCTCCTAAATAATTCCAAGAAAAACAAACAAATGATTACATAGAAAAGATCTCTTTGTTTTCTTTTTAGCTCTGCCCACTTTCACAATGCTGTTTCCTTCCCCCCATTTCATCTGAATCCTAACAGGAAATGATTTATCAGGTGGCATTAAACTGTTGGTCCACAATCTTTTATCCAAATCCTTTGAGGCCAGATGAGTTGTGGAATTCTTTATTGGGTGTGGGGGGAGGGGTGGAATTTTCCACAGTAGTGCCATGAGTATAGATTACATGATCTCCACAGTAAGGTGTGGGGCTGCTCTAAACAACTAAACACATTAACGTGTCTGCAACAAAAACATATAAATATTTGGAATAAAGACTACAAATGGCCTCATTCCAGTTCAAGCCA